ATATATATATATATGTGTATGTATATGTGTGTGTGAAATTTTATAATAGTCATATTTTATTAGTAATATATTTTCAATATAAATATATTTATTTAAAAATTATATATCTAATATATATATATTTTAGCATTACATTATATTCAATATGATAACATATATTTAAATTTAAAAATTATAGTAATTTTAAAATAATAATTAAATATGTAAATTAAGAGATTTCTATAAAAATGTGAAATGTTGAAATTTTTTAAGTTAGGGAAGCTTTTATAAGAAAGTAGCATGGTGTAATATTTAAATATTTTAATTTGAAATTTTCAGGAATTGTGATAATGACTAAGCAAAAAAAGAAATGGATGAAACTTAAGGATAGAACTTTACCAGAATATATAAAAGGAGTCGAAGATTTTTTAGAATTTGCTTTCTCTGGACCGAAGCCTAAAAATACAATTAGGTGTCCTTGTTACAAATGCAATAATGTTAGTTTTAAGACAAGAGATAATGTGATGAATGATTTATTAAGGTGGGGATTTGATTCAAGTTATAGGCATTGGGAGTATCATGGAGAAACCTCTGGTGATTCATCATCTGATACTGATAATAACTCCATAGATAATGATAATGACTTTGATGTTAATCTTGAAAGGAGTGACGATGTCCAAACCTACTCCATGCTTTACGACATGCATCAAGCATTAAATGCAAATACAGATAATGTGTTTGATCATCCTATGTCTAGTGATATCAATGAAGAGCCCAATAAAGAAGCTAAAAGGTTTTATGGTTTGTTGAAAGATGCTGAACAAGAATTATATCCTGGTTGTCGAAAATTCTCAAAATTATCCTTTGTTGTGCGTCTCTTCCAAATAAAATGTCTTTATGGGTGGAGCAATACTTCAGTTGATTCATTGTTAAAACTATTGATTGAGGCTTTACCTGAAGGTAATGTGCTTCCTGATTCAATGTATGAGGCTCGAAAGATAATTAAAGATCTTGGACTTGATTATGTCAAGATAGATGCTTGTGTGGATGATTGTATTTTGTATAGAGGAAAGTATGAAAAACTTGATGAATGTCCTATTTGTAAGAAAAGAAGATGGCAACCAAATAGGAACAAAAAAGTCTCAAATAAGATTGTTCGTTACTTTCCTATAAAACAAAGATTACAAAGATTATTCATGTCAAAACAAACTGCCGAAGACATGAAGTGGCATAAGAACAAAAGAGTTGATGATGGAGTTTTAAGGCACCCAGCTGACTCTTTGACTTGGAAAACATTTGATGATCAATATAGATCTTTCTCTTCAGATCCACGTAATGTGAGACTTGGTCTAGCTTCAGATGGTTTCACCCCTTTTGGTATGATGGGCAATGAATATAGTATGTGGCCTGCGATTTTAATTCCTTACAACTTACCCCCTTGGTTATGTATGAAACAATCTAATTTCATGTTATCACTTCTTATTTCTAGTCCAAAGAGTCCTGGAAATGATATTGACGTTTATCTTCAACCACTAATTGACTTCTAGGGTTTCTAGTTTCTACAGAATGATAAAGTATATAAGGACTAAATTATAATTTAAACAATAATAATTATTATAATAATATTGTTACCTCAGGTTAAAACATGTGGATCACCAATGATCCTAAACTCATTGGGATTACCACATAATGATCCTGTTTTCTGATGATTGTTTTCTCCAAGTTCCTTATCTTTGGTTACATTTTATTGTTAGTTCTCTATATTCTTCATGTTTATTGCTTGCAGTTGTGCCCACCTGATGTTAAAGCTGTGGTGAACATTAGTTTTTTGGTTTCTGATGTCAAGAGCAAGTACAAGGTAAGGTTATGCCCTTTTCTGTCTTTGATATTTTTCCAGCTTTAATGTTCGTTAGTTAAACTTTTTCACATTGTTATGTTTGTTGCTTACAATTTTCTTTACTTTTCTGAGCTATCTTGGCGCTTTTTGTTTAACTTGTGTTTGATCAAATATTTACCTGATTCAGGAAGCCAACCTTTTACCAAAATGGAAGGCATTCCAAACGGTCATATTTCTTGAACGGGTGAGATTAATTGTCTTAGGTTTGATTTGGTTGGACTGTTGACAAGTATAACCTTGTGCAAGATGTCTAGTTAAACATACAAAAGGAATATATACACACAAATGCCTTCTGCTCTGCATGTTTACATGTTCCCCATGCTCTATGTGCTAATAATTTGCAGGATGATGGTCTGCATGATTCAAGTAAAATTGCTGCATTTGATTTTGATGGCTGTCTTGCAAAAACAGCGGTGAATAGGTATTTCTGCATCTGAAGTCATAACTTTGTGATTATTAATGTTGTTGGCTTTTGTTGTGCTATGAATTGGATATATTTTTACCAAATTTAAGCAATCAAGCTGATATTATTATTATTATTATTATTATCATCCTAAACATCTTAATCTTAAGTTACCGATTGTTAAGAAATTTATCCTTTTCTTTCAGAGTGGGTGCAAATGCTTGGTCCCTTATGCATTCATCAATTCCGGATAAACTACAAAGCCTATACAACGATGGCTACAAGTTGGTGTGTATCCTTTTTTGGTGAAATATATTTGTTATTTACTATAAAATTTTGGCTAACTTTAGAACTTAAGTATTTGTGCTCCCTCCCCCTCTCTAATTTAAAGTTTCAGCTGTTTAGTAATGCTGCCCACTTGAAATTTTATATGTTGAGTGCTCTTTTGTTTTTGTTGTCTACGCAGGTAATTTTCACCAATGAATCCAATATTGAACGTTGGAAGAATAAGAGGCAAGTTGCCGTTGACTCAAAAATTGGACGTCTAAATCAATTTATTGAGAAAGTGAAGGTTCCAGTTCAGGTGAAATTTTTGGTATATCAAATGTATCTGCTGTTATCAACAATTCAATTTTGGATTATTTATTTTGCTAGATATGAATTACAACTGTCATACTCTTCAGTTGCTGTTCTCTCCATTTCTGAACATAGGATTACTTTGATGAGAATGTTCTACAAGTGAAACAAAAGTGAGGTGATGTTAAAATTAGAGATGCGGTCTTTTGGGCAATAGGTTAAATATTGTTTTCTTTCTTTTTCCATCTGGGAGGATAATGGACTAAATATATATGCCTTTTAACTGTTTGGTTTTTTGAAGATAATTCTTTTTCAATCATTTTAAACAAGTCCCAGCCATGTCCATGGTGAATGCAATATTCCTGTTATTAATTTGCAATTTTTTTTGTGAGTTGCATTCCAAGAACAAACTTCTTTATCATTGGTTCTATTTATAGTTCTAAATGTTAAAGTTGGAAGCTGAAACTTTTGCATCTTTACATTAATGCACAACAACGATATTCTTCACCTATAAAAATTTAGGTCAAAAGTTTGTTGTTGAATAGTTGCAAGTTTCATTCATTTTGTAACGAGTGATTCTAACTTGTGCCCATGAAGTTAGGGTGTATCTCTGCACCTTATATGTTATTGTTGGTTCTGAACTAAATAAATACACATTTTGTCCAAATCTAACAATATGTATATGGAGTGTGTATTCTAATTTCTAAAATTCTTCTATGTAACAAAGATTAAAGGGAAAAAAGAAAGACTTTGTAGCACATTTGTTTTAAAAAATATGTGGGAAATGCACGAGAAGCTGACCTTGTAACAATATTTTATCTATATAGGTTTTTATAGCTTGTGGGCTAGGTAAATCAGGTAAAGCACAGGAAGATGATCTTTTTCGCAAACCCAAACCGGGGATGTGGTATCTTATGGAGCAACACTTCAACTCTGGCATTGCCATCGATATAGATCAGTTATATTTTCTCCCATTCAACTGTTTAATTGATGCTACGTTTCTTATTCTTTTCATAAATTTTATTTAGAATGTTATCATTTTTTATCCACGAAGGCATGAAAATGTTAAAGAGGCATTTTCTATGTTGTAGATCCTTTTATGTTGGTGATGCAGCCGGGAGAGAATCAGATCACAGTGATGCTGATATTAAATTTGCAGAGGTAATTGTTTAACCAGTAAAGTTAACTTGATTTCTTTTTTATACTCTATGCTTAAGCACCCTTCTCGACTGATTCATGCACCATTTAGAAAATGTTCAGCTTTTACAAAATAAATCTTGGGGTTTAATGAATAGGGTTTGAGCGCATTTTTCTGTCTCTGAATAGTTTTTAAATTTATGGATGTGTACTTCATCCAGCTGTGAATATTATTACCTTAAGCAGCACGTCCACTCTGAATAATATTTGACGCCCAAATTTGTACTTAATTTTTAATTCATATTTTACAATTTGATTTAAAAATTGCTTTAGAATCTTTGCATGTTCTTTGTCTAAACTATTTATTTTCAATGATTTCAGGCCATTGGTTTAAAATTTTATGTCCCTGAAGAGTACTTTGCCTGAGCATCTAATTTAGCCATTAGTTCGTAGGATTAGGAAGGTTAAGGTCTTAAGGACTTTGTTTGAAAGTCGCATTATGGAAGTTTGGACCAGAAAGGATGTAAATGGATTTCTGGGCAATCCTAAACCCTAAGTGTTGTGTTTGGTAAAGAATTGAATATAATGGAAAACGTTTTCTTCAATGATGTACTAGTGTTCCTTCTTCATTCTGTGCCTTAGGATGTGCAAATCAACGTGTTTTGGGTTTGAAATGCTAGACCAAGCACCCTATAATTTGTGGGCAATCTCAAATTTATCTGTTTGTTGCTTCAATTCCGATATTCTATCATCGAGTTGCTTTATTTGGTTTTAAAATTGATAAACTTTTGAAGAACCAGAATCGTAGTTGTGGGTGACTGAAATAAATTTAAGGGAAGGATCATCGAAAAAGATATAAATAAATAAGGATATATTAATGTTTGATTTAATCTGTAAGGTGTGCTGTAATTTATGTTTTGATATGAATGTGTATTGTAATATCAATTCATTAGAATTTAAATATATGTCAAAATCACTTTAAAAGATATGTTTAAGAAAACAAAATCAGTATATTATTTTCTTCGACAGTAAGGGAGTTTTAAATGAATAAATATACGTTTGCTGTTGCTGTTACAAAAATAAAATAAAATATACGTTTCCTGTATAATTATGTCAAAAGAGGACCTCTATTGAGGATAAGTGCAGCATTGCAAAAAGTAATTAACAAGTGTCAACACATAGTAAAGAACAACTAATTACAATATTAAAATAAAAAATTGAAGACTAAAGGAAAAAAAAGAAGTAAAACACCTTTTTTATTTTTTATTTTTATTTTTCCATATACGTAATTCACGTGATATCCAACAAGTAAAGACTAATATATTTTAGTGAGATGTACCTTTCATTAATAAATGTTATTTTAATATAAATAGAAATTGTACTGTCTCTATCAAATATCGAGTTTCACGTGAGTCCTAATTATGATACGATATCAATCATGTGCGTGGGTCCATAGTCAATGGGGCTTGCGTTCAATGTTGGGCCGACTTCAAACCCACTCTCGTTTAAAGAGAGAAAATCTTAAAATTACCAAGGTACGTCTACTATAAATACGAGACATGTATACTATTAAGGACTAACTTTAGCATCAGAGTCTCTTTTGTAGGTACTACTCCCATTTCGACACGACCAACGTACCCAGGAGAAGAGACTCACCAATCTCATTAGAGTGATCGCTTCCAAGACTGATCTCAAGTGAGAATAGAAATAAAAACACCATTTAAGCCTCTTTAAAAGCACATATTATTAAAATTCTAATTATTTTATTAAATCACTAAAAAAATAATCACTTATTATTTTAATTTTTAAATTACATTAATATTATCATTTAATAATATATATATATATATATATATATATTAAAATTTTGAATTAAAGTGAGTAATATTTTATATTTTTACAATTTGTTTAAAAAAATTTACGCTTTAATTCAATAAAGTACATGCCACATGCACTTTTAGGATCGAATGGTGTTAAAAAAAATAAAAAGTATTACTAGTGTCTAATAATATCCTTTATTTATTTACCTTTTGTCCAAGCCGAAATAGTTATTATAGTTATAGTTATAATTGCAGACATGGATGAGAATCTTCATATTTGATTTCCGTTGTGAGTGTGGAATCGCAGAAGCCATGGCGAAGCGATCGTACAAGACGGAGTTGGGATGCATAGCGTGCTCGGAGCTAGGCGAGTTCGGAGCGGGTAAGCCGTCGTGGCTGGTGGAGAACCCTAACCTCCTCTGCGCCATCGACACCCACTCCCTCCTCCTCGCCAACCGCTCCACCATCCTCCTCCTCTCCTGGTCAGACTCCGCCGATCCCCCTCTCAAGATCCGACCTCAACTCTCCCCCATCGAGCCCGAGTCCATCTCCGCCCTCCAGTGGCTCCCCCTCCGCCCCC